GGGCCTTGCGCTTGCGAGGCAGGCGGTGGCACCACTGAGCTAAATCCCTGGCTCATCCCTTCCATCCCTGACTCATAAAAACACTTGGGATTGCACGGGGCCAGCAGACAGTTGAGAATATTTGCAGCTTGGATCTCCTTTTCCTTTTTACCACATAGCATAGCTTATTCGTGGGTTCTAGGGATCCTGGGGGGGGGGTGTTGCTTATAATAAACAAAAGCTGGGGGGAAAAGGAGAGAGAGAGAGAGAGAGAGAGAGAGAGAGAGGGAGAGGGAGGCATCCTATACATTATCTCTGTAAAACACCAACACAAAAACTGCAGGCCAGTGTGTACCATGATGAAGTCATCAACTCATCAAGTTTCCCTGCTGTCCTTCAAGCCTCGGGGAACACAACAATGGAAGTGTAGTCTGTGTTTAAGGCTGTACCTTAACTACTAGTTTACAGTTGCACACACACTCCATCCCTCCCGGGGGTCATCTTTTTATAGCAACAATAATAGCGATTACGATTTCCTGAGCACTTACAATGTGCCAAGGGTTAAATGGTCTCTATGTGCATTTTCTACACAACTACTTATTTCACAGGTGAGAAACAAGAAACATGAGAGGTTCTAAACTTACTAGGGTCATAAAAGTAGTGTCGAAGCCAGAATTCAAACCCAGGACCATGAGACTCCAGATGCTGCACTTTTAAGCATTAAACAGAACGACTACTTCCTCTGTTAGCCAATATTCACTTTGCAAAAATTTGTTCCCTAGCTGACCTCTTATGATTTCCGTGAGGAAGGAAACACAGCTGGTATGATTCCATCCCTCCAGCCAGCTTTGGCACTACACTGTCTTCTACAAAGCCAACGGGCCGGGGATTTAGCTCAGTGGTTCCACCACCGGCCTCGCAAGCTCAAGGTCCCGAGTTCGATCCCCAGTACCAAAAAATAAAAAATAAAAAAAATAAAAGCCAAGGGAAGATCTCTAAAACTGGTTCCGTCTACTCCACCCCACCCTAAGCCCCTGTGGCTATAACACAACACAGCATTGGGATTGTTCTTGCAACTCTCTCCGAGTGGAAATAACGCTCATCTCAAAATACAAATAACTTGAAACAGATAAGAGAGTAAAAGTAAAATATATCAAAATAAAGAAATTGGAGACTATGTTTAGAATATAATTTATATGGGAAATGAAAATCACAAAGGCACTGAAGATATTAAACTAAATTCTGTAAGTTTAGAACATTTTATACAAATATATAACGTTCCAGGCCCAGGGATTTAGCTCAGTGGTTCCGCTGCCTGCCTCGTAGGTGCAAGGTCCCAAGTTTGATCCCCAGTCCAAAAAAA